ATTTATGGAATGCATTTTTCCCAGGAGGATGGGTTTCCAGGAACAGTTTTCCTCCAGTGGTGTGCAATGAGCCTCTCCGAGAGCAAAGCAGGCAGCTGGGAGTGCACGAGGCGGCCCTGTTGCTCACCACCAGTGAAGCCGTTAGCCACAAAGAGACCTGTAGTCTGCCCCGCCCACTTCTCTTGAGTCCAGTTTGTGCTGACAGCAGAGCAGAAAGACATCTCCTATAAACATACATGCAACATCTCGTGTTATCCCCCTCAGTGGTAACCTTCAGGAAGACCCATTGCTCAACACTGCTGCCTATTTACCCTTCACCACGTTCTGGCCCCTCTTAAGCCCCAGACATTGTAAACATCCTCATTCTGTCATTGGTGGACTCGTCTACTGAGACTCGTGACCCACAGGGGGCTTCCTACTTTACCTTTGAAAAAACCTCTATATCATTTAAACAAATATCAATTACATTACCTGCTCATTAAAACACGTTTGAAGAACAAAATTGTTATTTTGACAAGAAGGCCCCATGAGGTTTTACCTCCTAAGAAGAATAAAGAGCTCAGCAAGAGTTTCCAGCTCTTGGAAATTCCCACAATCAGATTTTTTGTTTACACCTTCAGGATCAAAGTTAGTTTATTTCTCAACATGTCTGATCCATCTAAAAGAAATTAAAGGTGGGCTCTCATTGTCATATACATTTAGAAATATTACTAAAATATCACATTTTAGTTTTATTTCATACAAAATGCAGCTTGGCATCTAATCAGAAGTAAACACGGCAGTAAAAGGACATAGTGTAAAAATAAAAACATGTACAGAATAAATAATGAAACAAATGGGATAGGAATAATACAAATTGGATGTGAAGTTTATACAATAACCAACACCAATATATAAAATGTCTGCTTACTTTTCACATACACTTAGTCATAAACCAATAAAAAGTAGAGTCTTCAAAAAGACATATGTATTTGTCTCTTATTATATTCTCAACAACCACAGCTAAATAATGACTTAATACCAGTACCTCATAATTCAAAGTTAGACTGTTTTTGATTGATTCATGACTCAGCTCCACACCTCCTTAATATATCCTTTTGTTGGTTTAAGACATACAAATCAAGTTTTTACACTGTCATGACTAATAAGTGGTTATTATGTGGGGAACACGAGGTGGTAAATGCAGAGAGAGGTAACGTGTGCTAACATGACCCCCACATAACAAACCACTAACGACTGCTTCCTGCCCGTAGGTTCAGGCAGTGTTTGGTCTGTGGAGAGAAATGAAATGTCAGCACTCACACAACATCTTTGTTGTCTTCCTGTAAATAATGTAACATAGGGTTTTCTTTATCTGTTTGTCAAACTGTGTGCATGTTTTTATCAGCTGATTGTGTTTGCTCTCTCTGCAGCACTGAGGGACTGAACACACCTGAAGGTCTCAGGTGAGGGTGTTGTCTGTTTCCTTAGCAACCAGGAGAAACACTGGCTACTCACTGAGTCAAAAACACACAACTTGTATTGTTTAGTTACTGTAGGTCACAGCAGATTGGCTGGATAAAACACAGAACACACGCAAACAAAAACAGACTTAAATGCCTTTGTTTGGTGTTTTTCCCCCACAGCTATCTGCTCTACTCGTGTTGCGTACACTTAAATGTTTGGGTTTCCTTTCCAGGGGTGGAGCTTGTAAGCACTTCACAGTTCACATGAACAAATAAGTACTTCCAAAACACAGATGAAGTGCACATAGTGAAACATGTCCTGTTTCTCTAAGGGTGTCTCCTTCCAGAGCATCACATGTGAAAGTCGTTTCACGCTAACCTGCTTTTCAGCTGTTAGCCTTATCCCATCTGGCTTAAGCATACATTAGTCACACAGGACGTTAACAAATTATCGAGTATAACAACTGGTAAATTGAACTTGGAACAGCAACAAGTGTCTGAAGTAAGATGTTAAGTAAAGGACACACGCTTCTCTGTTTGTGTTGAGTATGCAGATTTCTGCTCATGGATCTGGCTGTGCGTGTGGATGTGACACACAGATGACCTCAGGCAACCTGATAGTATTAAGGAACAAAGTGTTTCTTATAACAACTCTGTGTCCCTCATGGTCGGAGATAATGAATAATATCCATGGGTAATACAAGAGGTCAGACCGCCCTCTTGTGGTTTACGTTGGGAATGATCTTCTATAAAGACACCTGTGCCCGAAGATGTGCTTCAAATAGTCGGGGGTTTGAGGAACATTGTGTACCAGAAGCTGATATACTGCTCCTGGTGATCATAGAAGAGCATTTAAATGACTTAAAGCAGTCACATTCATTTTCACTAATAGATCTGGAAACACATGCTGATTATTTGAATGAACTGTTTAAAAAATGACTTTATAAGGCTTCATTTTCTAACATACATTTGTGCAAATAAGAGCACTGACTGCAAGGTGATTACCTTCTCTGCCAAGAATAGCCTGTTCTATGAGGACAGGTTGGATTTTCTTAAAATGTTACCTTCTGCCTGTGAACAACATGCTATTGCAATCTCCTGTCCTGTATAACACATTGCAAATGTGCATGTCAATAATGTCAGCAGTATAAAACACTACAAGCCTGCGTGACTCCCCTAATCAGAATAGGATAAGAAGTATGATCTTACTTTATTGCCTTTTGGGGACACCTTTATTGATCTCAGTATAACTGCATTACAGGACACTCCTTCCCAGACCTACTGAGCAACATCTTTACAATCATTCACATAATGAAACACATCATGACCATGTAGTGATACATTTCATGCCATGTGTTTGGTCTCTTTTCATCAATGCTTCTGCTCCATTCAGTGCTCAACCTTCTCTCTGAGACAAATAATCTCCTCCACTGACACATGCAAAGCTCCCAACAGATGATGAAGCTTATTTGTGTCTGCTTACTTGGAGAAATTACGCATTATCCATTCTCATAGGTAGACAACACAAAAACACATGGCTGTAGAGGAGTAAGAAGAACAATTATCCATTCATTGACAAGTCTCTCTGCCAAGTTTGAGACCAAACCAGGTAGGTTTGAACCTCATACATACACTGACAACAGCACAGCAGATGATTCCATACTGTGGATTAGTTAAATATGTATTTCTCTCTGGACTTAGACAGGCTTTGGCTGCAGTGTGCCACAATGTGTTTCTGTGAGCTTCCCTTTTAGTACAGGAGCATTTGTTTATCCTCATAAACCCTGCTGTCCTCCCACTGCCGGGTCATTGAACACTCATGCTGTGCTTCCAAACTGTGTGCAAATTGACAAAGTTATGTATTTAATTAAAATTCTATTGGATATGTAAACATTTATAAGTATATTACATTACATTGCATTTAGCTGACGCTTTTATCTAAAGCGACTTACAAAAAGTAAGATGTATATTGAATATGTTTACGTTTTAATTGTTCACCATGTGTAAATACTGTAGCTGAATTAAGAGATGGAATCAATGGATTTACTATTGTGCTGCTACATTAGATATGTGCTTCAACTAATCAGATATATATAGGCTATCCTTCTGCTGTTTAGTTTACATTTCAATATTTCCATGAGAAATGTTGGTGGGCCTACTGCTGTAATTTAGACAAGGTCGCTTGACAATCAAATTGAAACCTTCCCTTTGTTTCGCACTGAGAACAATTCCACTTAGTCTCCAGTAGAGGGTGTTGCTGGATATCGAATGTATCTGTCTTTGAATCTATTCATCTGTAGCTCAGATACTACAGACAAAGCCAAATCTGCATAATAATGTATACACCTTGCTCTATAATCTATCCAACATCGTGTAACAGATCAGGTAGCAGATATATCCTATTCTTAGCTTTAGAAGTCGGGGCACTTAAACATACCATTTCCTCTACAGCTAAATAATATAATGTTAAATTCACATCACATAGCAGGTTTTAGGTCTGAAAAAGATTCAATTACCAATAAAGCAATGCAATTCATTCGTAGTAATATTTTTATATTCCAAGCTCTGTAAATGAAAAGCCAGCTTTACATTTCCCCCTCAGTGTAGGTCAAAGGCAATGTGGCATTAAGCCTAAGTTGTTTTATCAATTGTATTTGTATAATGAAGAGATAAAGGGCAGCTCTACATTTGTGTCAAAACGACTTAACAGTATGTGGAACCAAGTGTAAAATATTGTCATCAAATGGGACGATTGATTACATCCAACATGCATCCATCTGCTATATTCTGATGGTAACAGACTGTCACAGCCATTTGACCTTGCACTGATTGTAAAGATCTTTCTGAAAGATTTTAATATCATGGAAGACAGTGTGCGGTTTTAAATAATAGGTGATATTATTCCTGGTGTGTTTCTCCCAGAGCAATGCTTTCTAGCACATTAAAATGACTATGTTCATTGTGCCTCTGAATCCCGCTCAGTGCATACCTTCCTGTGTGCACCCTGATGGGACCTGTCTTCCTTTCAGACACACTGAGCCTCATCTGGTGGGACAACCTTTGGCTCTCCGCCGGCTAACTTTAGCCTCACAGCTTGCATGGTCTCTCTAAGCCTGTTTTTGGGTTGTGGTGTGCCAAAGTAGATTTACCTTCAATAACCATTTATTAAATCTCTATCCATTAGACTCTGAGGCTTCATAAGAGCTGACTGCATTAAGCCTGATTATGGGATGCGGGGCAGAGGAAAAGGGTCTATGTGTCAAGTGTGTCATCGAGTGATTTATATCCCTGGCTGGGATCTCTGTCTTGTCAGTCGAGAGTGAGCTGCAGAGAGGAGAGAGATGCGATGAAACCTTAAAAGATATGAATTTCTGATCATTTTTTTAAAGTGTGAATCCAGAGTTTGCTGCCATGCCTTGGTTCTCTAGTGGTTCATGTCCTGGAGGGTTTCTGTCTGGTGCTGATGTGGACGTTGCAGCTGAACCCTGACCTGTTGCCAATCTCAAGGGATCGCTTTTTTAAGTCAATTTGACTTAAATTCTTGAAGTCTTCAACATGGACTCCAAGGCCACCTTTAAACGGGGCTCCCTCAAACGCACCACATCTGGCTCACAGAAGGTAAGATGAAGCACAATCAACAGGTGATTCTGCGTTACCTTAACACATCAGGGCTGTGTTTTAGTTTGTTTTAAAACAAATAGTGCTGTTATAATATTATGTTCCTCTTGAACTGTGTTTGTGGCAGTTTAGTTCAAGTTATTTATAAATAGAGGCTAACTGCACTCTATCTCATCTTATTTTTCTTATCTTTTGTTAATTTTTGTATTCAGGAACCTTAAAACCATTGTTGAAAATGTCTTGTGTTGCACAGCATGTGACATCCAGCCAGTATTACAAGCTGGTCACATTAAATCCTAACCAATCATTTTAGAGCGTCTCTGTCCTGCCTGATGACATGCGCCAGTCAGGACGGCTGGCTGCATATGGGTGTGCACATGTTCTGCACTACGAGCCCAGCAAACTGTTAAGTGGTGTTTGTAGCTGAGTGGGCTTCAGTGCTGCAGTTTAATCCTGCATAATGGCCCAGTATGGACCACCACAGCCATGATAGATTAAGGACTTTAATATCTTTCTAAAGTCTGCTTTCATGTGATTAACACACCCCTGTTAGCATGTCCTTGAAAGCAAGAAAGATGTCATTTTTGGGATTAGAGCATGACTGTGCTCAGTTTGTGTTGCTATTGTTGATGCACTTAAGCAACGAGGTCAAAGAAAAACAAACTCTTTCTTATTTAAATGGTTTTATTTTTATTTATAGATAACCCTTTCCATAATCATTCATTTATATCACAATGTTCCAGTTATGTCTTTCTGAGGAATATTGTTCACCATGTGCTTATTCAGCCCCACTCGTGATCCATATATCAAGAGTATCTGACACTCACATCACTTGAAGAATTTAGCATAATGGGTTTCTATAAAATACAGCAGGCATTATTTAATGAGATTAATAGTCTTTGTATAATCCATAGCCTTTATATATGAGGGTTTTACTAGGGAAGCAATCAGCGATGTCAATGGCTCCCAGCTGCACTTTTTATGAGATCCGATGTGTTGCTAAATATAAACACAGTCCAGGCTACTGAGAGATAACATTGCCCTTTTTTCTGATTGTTCATCATGTTGTTATGACAGTCTTTAATCAGGGATTTATCTTCCCTATTCAAACGATATGCGTACAATTCATCATTTACAGGATTTATGTTTCATCCGCGATATAGTGCATCAGAAACAGAGAAAAGACCATTTCTCTTTGGATCTGGGAGGATGGCACATGATTAGAAATGAATGTAAACGTCACGCTTGTCCTCAAACAGAGAGCCCATTCAGTTAAATGTGATCACATGATATTATCTTGTTGCCATGGCATAGATGAACTTATATCTTTCCATCTACCATTATCACTGTTCTAGAGCAGACTGCCTCTCCTGACCTTTTACCTCTTTTATCAGGAATTAGTAGCCTAAGGTCCAATATTTTAGAATTGCCTAAAATCATCTGTAGCCCTAAGGGTGTGAATATTTAAAGACATGATGTTTCTTGCACGGATTAATGAAATGTTCTCCATCAATAAAAGGCACCACATTGAATTAAATTGTGAATAACTAAATCTACCATTTCTATTGAGGGTTTGCAAGATCATATGACCGTGTGTCGTGTGATGTAAGCGTCAGGCTCAGGTCAGGTGAGGACCAACAATCCACAGAAAGCTTTAAGGCTCAGGGTCGGGGGCCGGACTACAACAGGCCCCTATGTGTGAAGGTTTAAAGCTTTGGAAACGTTAAAGTTGAACAAGTTAGTTCTTTAAATGCTGCAGCATTATGTACTAAAGTTACATTGTTTTTTGTTACTTAAATACAAACTTAACACCCCATAAAATTAAACGTCGTTATGTGTTACATAGTTCCTTTGGCATTTTTTAAATACACTTCACTTTGTTTTGCTTGTTAAATAATCCTGTTGTAGTTGTTTAGTTGCTGTTTAGTTTTCACAACTTAAACTCACATCATTGCATTTAATTTATTATTATAATTAATTAATTAATATTAATTTAAAACAATTGCACTGCAATCATTTGAATACTTTTTGAATATATAATGTTATTTATATAATATTATAATATACAATTTGCTTTCCACTGTAGGATTATATCTTGGTTAATGGTATATTAAAGTGTATTCTAAATTATTCCTTTATATTTTATCTATCTATCCAGCAATCTATCTATCTATCTATCTATCTATCTATCTATCTATATCAAAAATGTGAAATATTTGCTACATATTGGCCATCATTTGAGACACTATATCTATCTGACAGAATCACACAAACACTCCACATACTATCTGTAAAATTCGTTTTGAACTGGTAGTATTTGTTTATTTTAAACATGACATGGGATCCAAGGCAAACATAAAAACTGTTTCAACTTTAAAACTATTTGTGGCTAACCTGTCATAACTTAAAAATAAAAATGTTTAGAGCTGATTTCACTTGCAAGATCCTTCTCTTAAAATACAAAAAATATTACATTTGTTCATACTTTTTTCTGACTTTATTCTGATTCCCTGATTTTATTTGCTCTCCTTTTCTGTCAGACTTTCCTCTGGGGGAAACCAGCAGCTTTAAAACATGTCTTGTGACTCCCACCACTCTTGGGGATAATCAGTGACATGTTGCACTCATGTGATTGCTAACTGGATTTTCAACCCAAGGAGGAACAATGAGTGCATTTACAAACAGTGCCGTCTGAAAACAGTTAGCTTCACAGTTAATGCAAATGTGCCTATCCGGATCCTATAACTCGAGTGTGTCGCTTGGTCCAAATGTCTTTCCCCTCCAGTGAAAATATGTAAAAGGCAGCTTGTTATTCGCTCCACGTGGGATGGACCATGAGTCTGATTTGTTTTAGACAGTAAAGGAGTCTACATGGGCTACCTTCCTGTCACACAGCATCAAGCTCTAACCACAACGCCATTCAAAACCAAAGCAGAGCAATTAGTTGCTTTTATCTCGAACCCTGGTGGCATTCCACCAGGACCCCCAAATCCTTTCTGATCCATTTCACTTGTGCTGATGAGGCTTTTGTTGTGTGAAGTCCCTCGTCACTACAATGTTCTGGACAAATCCCACATACAAGTTTTAAATCCACCGACTATGAACAATGATGTGCTCAGAATTCACTGAAATTGACTAGGTGAGATGTCTTTGCCTACAGTTATCATTATACTTTTTCCTATGGCTACTGGGAGCTGAACCGGCCGTGCAATTGTAGCAGCACTAGAACACATTTGCTCTGATGTGGTTGCTCACTAAGCTGTGGGTCAGGAGACCAGGACCATGTGATTCCAGTACAAAAATGCATGAATATATGGCATACATCTTAACTGAGACAAATACTTTGTCCAATGCTTTGTGAAACTGGTATAAGTGCTCATTTCTTAAATCAGGATGGAGACATATTTAGATAAACCAGAGCAATATACTTTGTTTGTAGGAAATTTGAGGAAAAATGGGTCATACATATATTTTACATATTTTCTGTGACCTCATTAGCAACCTAGTCAGTATTATTTCCATTTCCACACAATCATCTTTTGTTTTGGACGACTATTTCTTCAGAACATTCAGCATTTTGGAATGAATGTTGTTTATTGTTCCGATGCTTGTCTTAAGTCTTGTTAATTGGCTTGGTGTGACACAATCTGATCCCTCAGTATCTAATTCTTCTAGGTTTTTGTTACTAAATGCTCACAGGCAGCTCTTAACGAGGCAGCTGGTTGCTGACTGGATTTGGGTTTTAATTGCTGTGGTTAATGAGTTTAAGTAAGCTGAAATAACTGGGACATGCTCACCAAACCCTTGTGGAAATGCGCTTTGTTTTCTCAGGCTATAATTAACAGCGGCCCACGTGCAATTTTTACCGGAGCAGAACCAAAAGGGCCAAATTAGTGGGATGTTGAGCTTTTCTCTCCGTCTTTCTGATCCATCAAGCACCAACCTCTCTTGTCTTTTTCACTCTGATATACAGTGAGGCTCAAACTGCTCACTTCAGCCATACAAGGAGAGCTTATTAAACCATTTCACATGAGGGAGGTTTTAAATGGATGTCTACAACTTTGTGCTTGTTAACTCCATCTCAGCTTCTAACTCACCTAATGCCTTCCCCTAGTTATTAAAGTGCTCCCAGGAAACCGTTAATGACTTCAATAGTTTTAACTAAATTACTCCATTAAATCCAGCATGAACAAAAAATGTGATTCATTTTAAATGTATCTAAATAGATCATATTTGACTTTTTCCTACCCAAACAGAAGTCTATTGATTATAGAGAATTACAGATGTTTCATAAATGCAAATACACTATAAAAAGAACAAAATGAAAAAAAGCAAGAGAATTTTGAATAGCTGGTCTCCTGCATTTTCCTTTCATCCACAGAAACATGGTGGATGGAAATAGAGATTAACTGCAATTAGCATTGACTGACCTTGCCCCCAACTGGAGACCAGTCATGTCTTACACATGGCGCCTTCCAAAAGAATGCCTGCATCCAATTCTCCCAATTATGCAAATTAGGTTGAAATCAAAGTAGTTGGAGGGGGTGAAAATGTTTCAAATGAAGAATTGGGGAACCTCTAAACGAGGCTGCAGTGTTTTAGGGTTAGCAAATCTGCTCCGTCTTCACACACAAGCTAAGATCTTCCACACTGTGAAGTGAACACAAAGAAAGGAGTTTCAACAAATTGGGAGATTAGGGGCCGGTTATCAAAGTAGATTTATTGTGCCTTGTTCAAGCGAAGGATGAAAATACCCTGTGGGCATGTAGAAGGGGTCATGGGACTCCCAAAAGGATTACCTTGAAATGGAGTCATGAGACTTGGGCGAACAAAGAGCCTGCTCACATGCTCATCATATTAGCTGGCCCTCATAAAGTGAAGAAGTTTCATGTCCTTTGGGATTCAGTGGAGCACTTCACTGGGAGAGCAGCAGCAGCAGACCTCCTCTCTGCTCTCTGGGTTTTACCTCCAGCAGCACTACTGATAGGACCCTGCACCTCGGACTCTGTGTAAGTGTATCTACATTCTGCAGCTCTTTTAAAACTTAAATTGCTTTTTTTCATTTTTCTTTTTCTTGTGGATGTGAATTCAGATGTGGTGATTTAGAGTTTAAGTTCATTCTTAATGACGCATGATAGCAGTGAGATGGAAAAACTGCTAAAACAAGACAGACAGCAACATCCACTCTCTGACTTGTACTTTTATAAATACATCCAAGGCGTTGGAATTATTTTTGCAAAAGACGACAAAGGTAAAGTGTTATAATAATAATAAGTACACTATTCTAATTTTCATCGAGACTGTGTACATTGCACTAGAAAACATTACAAGGGAGCAGAACGTTTTTTTAATATATATTTATGTGTGAAGCAAAGGGGGAAACGGATAAAAACATTTAAAAACAGTAGCAATGCTGTTCTGTTCCAGTTCTTATCAATAATAGCACACAGTATCCGGTATATTTAAATGCCATGCATTTGTATGAGGATTTTACTATTTACCTTCCAAGTTTTTTTTTGGAAAGATGTCCTTCCAATGTTTCAGTTTTAATTGGGCCTCCACCGTCAACAATGGCCCTCAGAGGAACTCAGCTTTGAACTCGGGTTATTTTTGCACAGCGCTGAAACATCAGACAGCAATCAGAGCAGGATATGACAAAGTGCGTGGGCATAGTATTTCAGTGCGTTGCTTATCGCTGGCTGCATATCAAGCTTGGGCAGACAATGTGTCGGTCAACATGAACTGTGCCCTAATAATCAAAGTTTCAAAAAGTGTTGTTCCTGTTGATTCCAGTGGACATGCAATATAAACTGTATTTCGAAGTGAACATTCTTACTTCAATTTATATTTTCTGCAATTTCACTTGGTCTGTTTTACAGGGTGCTTATACTCTTCATCTCTTAGCTGGGATTACAACTAAAAGGATTTTGATCGTGAATTTTAAATTGTTAATCTGCCTGCATGATCTCCTTGTGACTTTGGTATGACACCATGTGAACTAACATTTTTATTTTATTTCTTCTCTTTTTTCTTTGTAGGCCGCAAGAGCTTGGATTGAGAGGACCTTTTGTAAAAGAGAATGTGTTCACAAATTTCCCACCAAGGACCCAAACAGGTAATTTTCTCTCTTTAAATTGTCCTTTAAATATTTAGTTGAAACTTGGTCTTAGGTTTAAAAAGCAGCTCATTATCAAATGATAGCAAAATATGCTACAATATATTTTACTGCTTGAGAGATCTTACTACAAACATTTTCCATTTTAGTCAAATGTATTTCAAATGTGAATGCCATACAAGGCTTTAAAATGTTTTCTTTTCATATTAAATACAATGAAGAGACACTTGTTGATACAATTTGTACTAATCTTTATCGTGTTATAAAAGCTACAAATTCACCATGAGTAACATTTAAGAGTTTGAAATAATTAATCTTCTTATCTGTTAGTTTGCTGAATCATGCCACCAGGTTTTTGGGCATTTATCAGGATGATTAAAACTGAATTTTCCGAGTGCGTTGTTGGATGTGTTAATTACCCAGGGCCCCAAGAGCAGCCAGGCAGTGCAGGCCTTTGTTCACTGAGGCATTGATTTCCCAGAAATAGTCACATTCATAAAAGAGCCTGCGATGTGTTTTGAGGAAATAAATGCCCTTCATAAGTAGACTAAACAACACTTGGCAAAGGCTACTAATTACAGTTCAACACTGCTCAAGAATTTATAATTTATATTTATATTTCACCAGGAAATCAGGGCCTCACATTAAACAGACTAACATGTTCTCTAAATGATGCTTGCTTTGTGATCTATTCAGATGTGCCTGTGGTCAGCTGACAACGCAGCACGTGGCCATCCCCGCTGGGGCCAACTCGCTGGAGGAAGCAAACCAGCTGGTGCAGATTGAAGCCCAGAAGGATAAATGGAACGTGGTAAAACACACCCGGACTTACCCGACGGACTCCTTTGGCACAGTGGAATTCCAGGGTGGAGGATTCATCAACAAAGCCATGGTGAGTCTCAGCAACTGAAAACTTACTGCAAAGTGAATGTGTGTTTTTTATGGAAATAAGTCACAAAACAGTTTTTTTCTTTCATAGTATATCCGAGTTTCCTATGACACCAAGCCGGACAACATCCTGCATTTGATGGTGAAGGACTGGCAGTTGGAGCTGCCAACTTTGCTCATCTCCGTGCACGGAGGTCTGCAAAACTTCGACCTCTCGCCCAAACTCAAGCAAGTGTTTGGCAAAGGCCTGATAAAAGCCGCCGTCACCACCGGGGCTTGGATCATCACGGGGGGAGTCAACACTGGTAAGACACTGACACTTCAAGTTAATGCTTTTAACTTTCACTTAATAAAATAACAATTTGTGACATTAGAAGATTACCTTTGCCCTAAATTGTCATTGCACAATACCTATTCTGCAATTTGCTAGTGGAGATTTGATCAACCCATTGTCATTGGTTTAATTACTGTAATTAGAGCTTTTGTTGGTGTAATTCATCACAAAGGACCATCCGTGAGAATCTGGTGTGAATTTGGCATGTAGTTATTACCCAACCACAGTGTGTCCCATGGAAAACTCATGATTTATTTGGCTCTTTTTACCTTAGGGGTGATGCGTCATGTTGGAGACGCCTTAAAGGACCATTCCTCCAAGTCACGTGGGAAGGTGTGTGCTATAGGAATAGCTCCATGGGGGATCCTGGAAAACAAGGAGGATCTCATTGGGAAAGATGTAAGAACACCAACTGCATTTAGTTTCCATTCTTACTAATATTTCTTCCTCTTAAAACTAATTTCTTGTCCTTTTTCCAGGTGACCAAACCCTATCAGACGATGGCGAACCCACTGAGTAAGCTGGCTGTGCTCAACAACAGCCACTCCCACTTCATCTTGACTGACAACGGCACCTGTGGGAAGTATGGCTCTGAGGTCAAACTTCGCCGGCTGCTGGAGAAGCACATCTCCTTGCAGAAGATCAACACACGTAAGTGTAATGTCAATAAACATCGTCCATGGTGTGCAAGGTGTGTTTTGTTGGACATGTGGATGAAGAGCTCCTCTGTGGCCCGTGGGCTTCCCTTTGTCATCCTATGCCTGGAGCTCGGTTAAGGCAGGGACAGCAAAGGGATGCTCAAATGTCACCAAAGACTTCACTCCTACCCTCCTCTGGTTTTGTCTGTTTTCACATCACATCAACGTGTTCTGCTTTGTCCTCAATGTCATGTCATAAGGTGGCTCTAAATGGTAAAAGGATACATAGGCTGAGTATTTTTAACTGTGTGTTGCAGGTTTGGGTCAGGGGGTTCCTCTGGTGTGTATGATAGTGGAGGGAGGTCCCAACGTGATCTCCATCGCTTTGGAGAGTCTGAGAGACGAGCCTCCTGTCCCCGTGGTGGTGTGTGACGGCAGCGGACGAGCTTCTGACATCATCTCCTTCGCACACAAGTATTCAGAGGAAGGAGGGTGAGATTTTAGATGATTTCTTCTTCGATGTACTCTAGGATATTATTCCTCTGGTAAAAAAAAGCTGAAATGTCCTCTTTGAATCTCATCTTCCAGCATGATTAATGATGATGCCAGAGAGCAACTTTTGGTAACTATTCAGAAGACTTTCAACTATAGCAAAAGCCAATCACAGCAGATCCTGCTCATGGTTACGGAGTGCATGAAGAAAAGGGAGCTGGTGAGTAGAAAGATGAAATAAAAATATAAGCTGTATTATCTTTAAGCTATTCTATAAGTATACTGTATATGAAAATCTGTGTCGATCAATAAACATTCCTGAGTTGTGAAACATCTGGTCTCCATCGTCCTTCATCCATTCCACTCATCTGTGTATTTCCCATTAACATATTGAATAAACATAATCTCCAAAACGTGCTTGTCATTTCTCCTTGTGATCATGTGTGGTATGTTCATGTAATCTGGGGCATTCGCAGCTTCACTGTGGGACATCATCAGTCCTCCTGTATAAGCACACAGCTGTAAAGTGTTGGTGGGGGAATCTGCAGTGATGAATCTGCAGTGTTTCCTATAATGTAAACAATGTAGTATACAGCTCGAATATGAAGCAAACACTCTAGTGAAAGTCTTCACATATATCAGATTTATACTTGAGTGTTTCCAAAGTGTTTGCTGGACACTTTGCACATAAATAGTTTGCATAGTCAGCACGTTTGCATCTGCAGATTCAGTAAGTGTTGTGATTAGTAGTTTGTAATACCCAGCGCATAATCTCCACACTCCATACATTTGGGTGGGTAAGATCAGCTCACACTACCACCTGCTTAGCAGAGGCTCTTACTTCATCAAATCACAGTAAGCATGCAGCACACAGATGGAAAAGAGGATCCATCTCCCTAATCCTCAGCCTGGTTCCTCTCTCTCTCCACTCCCCAGGCTTTTTTCAGTCCCCAGAGTGCTATCACTTCACCAGCGACTCTTCATCCTCCATCCTCAATGTATTAGACTGCGTAATGCGCCAACACACTCAGATAATCAACTTAAACTGCTTTTTCAAAGATCATACTGCTGAGGGCATTTAGTTTCCACTGATACGTGACCCAGACAACCACATTGTTTGAGCTCTTTACACGCATCCGAGAGGCCACACTATGTTGCCTGCTCTTCATCTAAAGTGCCATGACTTACCTACAGGTGAAACAGTGTCACAGTCTAGTCCCCAAATAATCCTTTTTATCCTAAGTGCATCCAATGTGAACAGCTGGGTCAGATATATCAAAACTCTGATTCAGAGGGCTGACATTTGCAGTGATGTAACTCGAGGATGCAACATTTTCACCAAAACAAGAATAGAATCCCCATTTGCAAAAAGCCCACAATGCACCCTGCAACTGTTTGAGACAGGAAGCACGAGTTTCCAGAGTTACTGATGCTCATTATCAACACATCCCGAGACCAGCCCTGAAATCTCTGGCGGTGTGCCTCGTATTCATGCAAACGTAATCCTATTTACCAGATGCACATGTGACAGGCCCGTCAGCGTAATTTCATTTGATATAGTCGAGTCTATCACAAGGAAAGCACTATCACGCTGTCTGACAAGTAAAATTAGCTTTTTGTGCTCTAAGGGTCAGCCTGCAGTGAGAATCCCACCGAAAGAATCTCCTATCAGTTTATCACAACATGTTTATGAGACTGGGAATGCAAATGAAATTGTCAATTTATTCATGGATTCTGTTTGTCTTCAATTTATTCATCCATTACATATGGCTTCACGTGGCTTTTCCTTCCTTTCTTATATGTAGATCACAGTTTTTCGGATGGGTTCTGAGGGACAACAAGATATTGAAATGGCCATTCTTACAGCCTTGTTAAAAGGTACTATCTGGCTGCATCACTTGTTCACACACTATCAAATCCCATAAATATTTAACTTACAATGAACTAAATCCTTACTATTCTCTCTCTACCTTTCTTTCTTTTACGTCAGGCACCAATGCTGCAGCAGCTGATCAGCTGGGCTTGGCTCTGGCCTGGAACAGAGTTGATATTGCTCGCAATCACATTTTTGTTTATGGACACAATTTGCCAGTAAGTGTTGCTCACATCTCAAAAGTGAAAATTATTCACTCAAATAAGTTACTGCAATAACAAAGTTGGCAAGAATGATTTTAGTACAGAAGGAAATCATTTGGTTTTGAAGGAGTTGCTCAAAGTACCCCTCCACTCAAAAATAAGTTTGAATTATGGTTACTTGACTTAATGGGGAAAAACCCTTATCAGGTATACATTCTTGTTCAAAGAAGAGTATTTTAAATGTCTTCAAAAATGTCTGGAGGGGATCTTGAAATAACAGTCTGTCCTCGACCTAGCAGAACAGAAATATCTATTTTGGATTGTGTTGTGCATCAATTCAAGTAATACTAATAGCATAAAAGAGAAATATTTATGCTAAACTTGACTAACTTACCTTACTTCCTGCTTGGTAAGCCTGCCGGTGCAATGGCCAGTGCTACCTCTTTAGCCTCCACCCAGGACAAGCAGAGGAGTCCTGCCAGAGCCCCTAAAAGCAAAGCCCGGGGAAAGAAGGGAAAGGGGAAGGGAAAATCAAAGCCTGAACTTCCAGAGGAAACAGATCCAAGGAAGTTGGAGATCATTCGCTGGGTAAGAGAGGGGTTTATGGAACAAATTGACATCAGTATATGAGGATAATATAAAGGTTGTGATGTGTAGGCTAAATAATAAGTCATATGTATTACTTTCCCTCAGGTGAACTCTCTGGAGCAGTCTATGATGGATGCTCTGGTGCTCGACAGAGTGGACTTTGTCAAACTGCTCATTGAAAACGGGGTCAATATTCACCACTTTGTCACAATTCCCAGACTGGAGGAGTTATACAACACGGTGGGCCGGAAACACTGCAGCAAATAAAAATTAGACAAAGTCAGAATCAAAAATACAGACCTTACAAATGCATGAAGGTCGACACTAATCACAAACAATCTTCTCTTCTCTCAGAAACTTGGCCCTATTAATTCACTCAATGGTGTGGTTAGGGACATCAAAAAGGTAAAATGATCACTCCCGTTAAATCTTCACTTGCATAATTAACACTTATTTAGGGTTATATATCATTTTGATACACTCCCTAGATTATATATTACTCTGGTGATTTTGCAGGGAAACCTTCCTCCAGATTATCAGATCACTTTGATCGATATTGGTCTGGTGTTGGAGTGCTTTATGGGCGGAGCTTACAGGAGCAATTACACAAGGAAGGCCTTCCGCAACCTCTACAATAATTTATATGGACTTAAAAGGGTACGCATGAGTTGAAGAAAATAATTGATGATGGCACGTTTACCATATACAGTAACATTTTGGTATTTATGATCATGGTTTGTTCTCTTTTTGCAGCCAAAGGCTCTAAAGCTTCTAGGAATGGAGGTGCGGTACCCTTTCCACAAACAAAATACTGTCAAGTAGCAGAAACAATACAGCCCACACAGCAAAAATAATCTATCACATTGTGTTTTTTTGTTAGGATGATGAACCAAGGGGAAAGGGAAAGAAAAGGGGAAAAAAGAAGAAAGAGGAAGAGGTAGAAATTGATGTCGATGACCCAGAGGTGTGTCGATTCAAGTTCCCCTTTCATGAGCTGATGCTATGGGCGGTGCTGATGAAGCGTCAGAAGATGGCGCTGTTTCTGTGGCAGCGTGGAGAAGAAGCTATGGCCAAAGCCCTGGTGGCCTGTAAACTGTATAAAGCCATGGCCCATGAGTGCTCTGAGAGTGAACTAGTGGATGACATCTCCCAAGACCTGGAAAACAACTCCAAGTCAGTACATCTCTTAACTAAACATCACCTCTAGTGTCACAAGCTGTTTACTATAAAGAAAACCACATGGGTGCATATTACTTTAGATTTATAGATATTGATCAACAATTAGGATATTCTGGTGTTAAATTGTTGTTAATTGTAGCACCTTTACGCTGGGGTTCCTGTTCTCTACCCTGAAGAGTATAGGCTCATATTATAATAGTGTATGTGTCATGTAATTATTGTTATTAATTTCCACTTTTTATTTTATTTTGACAAGTGCAATTTATAAATTAATATTATTGTTCTTTCTCTCTCATAGAGAATTTGGCCAGCTGGCTTACGAGCTGTTGGACCAGTCCTACAAGCATGATGAACAGGTGGCCATGAAACTCTTAACATATGAGCTGGTTAACTGGAGTAACTCCACCTGTCTAAAGTTGGCTGTGGCTGCTAAGCAACGTGATTTCATTGCCCACACCTGCTGCCAGATGTTGCTCACCGACATGTGGATGGGATGCCTGAGGATGGGCAAAAACCCTGGCCTTAAGGTGGGCATCACACATAGAACAACAAAAAGAACAACATTTTTAATAATTGTAGTCATTCACTGTATCTAAACAATAAACTCACTGTGTCTTACAAAAACTGTGATCATTTTCTCAACTAGGTTATTCTGGGAATCGTCTTTCCTCCGCTGATTCTACTGTTGGACTTCCGTCTTGCAGAAGATGCATCCTATAATGCACCTGGCCAAGAACAGGGAAAAGACAAGGATGACGATGCAAAATCCAGCAAGGTTCCCACTGACCTTGTCTCAATTGTTAATTTAAAAAAACATATTGTTTATATACCTATTATTTGTTAAGAGTGAACAATCATAACAGAAGGTTTGCTGTTGTTTGTAGGACGGTAATGATGCAACTTCCCGAAAGGGGGATGAAGAAGAGGGCGCCACTCATGTCCGTAAAATCCCAATAGCAACTAGGATCTTTGAGTTTTATAATGCGCCATTCACCAAATTCTGGTTCAACACTGTAAGTTTCCTTTTTGCAAACAGTAAACTATATTATTCATTTTTTTTGTATAGTGACTTAAGTGCACTTACATGTTGGTATTTCTTCTTCTAAAAGATTTGCTATTTGGGCTATTTGATGTTGTACAACTACATAATCCTGGTGAAAATGGAGCGATGGCCATCCTTACAAGAGTGGACTGTCGTCGCATACATCGTCACACTTGGCTCTGAAAAGATCAGACAGGTATACTGTCCATAAAACATGATATTTAAACTGTTCAAGTCATTACATGTAAGAGATAGTTTGTGGTATCTACATGACCTTTAAACCTCAATGTCTAGATTCTGATGTCAGAGCCGGGGAAGCTGAAACAGAAGATAAGTGTGTGGATGGAGGAGTACTGGAACATCACAGACCTGGCTGCCATTTGCACCTTCCTTTTCGCACTAATGCTACGGCTGCAGAATGAACCTTACCTGGGCTACGGCAGAGTCATCTACTGCATAGACATCATCTTCTGGTACATCCGTGTACTGGACATCTTTGGAGTCAATAAATACCTGGGACCCTATGTGATGATGATAGGGAAGATGGTAACTAGAACAACTATCCTTGTTAATATCACATGACATCAGTATTAGAGTTTAGGGAAGTTAACACAGAGTTTGAATGGTTGTGTGTTTCTTGTCTTCCAGATGATAGATATGTTGTACTTTGTGGTGATCATGCTGGTGGTGCTTATGAGCTTTGGAGTGGCTCGGCAGGCCATCCTTCACCCTGATGAGGAGCCGACATGGCGCCTGGCCAGAAACATCTTCTACATGCCCTACTGGATGATATACGGAGAGGTTTTTGCGGACTCGATAGACCGTAAGACTAGAATTCATAGTAAGGTTCTGTTTCCTGATTCTGGGCAGATGATCATTGTTACATTTACTTTTATGTCTTAAGTTATGTTATGTTTAGTGACAATGTACTACACCGTAAACCCTCGATACTTTGTCTCCCTCTGCTGGCATGTTTATTAAAAGAAATGTAATACATAGTACTCTGCATTGAGGAAGTGCAGGATAGGTATTATTATCCATCTCCTCAAGCATGATCATCTGCCTTCAAGTTTTGTCAGCGAGAAGGCAATAACTAGCAGAAAATAATAAATTGGCAGGGTTATTAATTACAAAAACAGTAGTTTTCTAAATAAGTAATAAGTTAAGTAAATAAGTTTAAATATTTTTTTTAAACGGCCATATAAAAAGTACACCAATTATCTTAGTGTTTGATAAGTAGCATGTTGTTTTTTGATAATACTTGTCCTCTCTTTCATGGTTTTAAACTTGACCTTTAATTATGATAACAATGTTAACGCTTTCTCCATGTTTGTTTCCTAGTCTATGCTATGGAAATCAACCGTGAGTACTCTATAAGCCAAAAGTACAATTATAATCCATAAACTAAATATATCAGAATACATTGTATGACTGTAACGTATTTTTCCCTGCAGCTCCATGTGGTGACCATTTATATGACGAGGATGGGAAGAAACTACCGCCATGTATCCCTGGTGCCTGGCTCACCCCTGCCCTCATGGCCTGTTATCTTCTGGTGGCAAACATTCTTCTGGTCAACTTGCTTATTGCAGTTTTCAAGTATGTATATGCCCCAATGTCTAACTGCTCTATTAGCTTAAATCTACTTTCACAGTGTGTACTCACTGCATTTGGTTTTCTGTTCCACAGCAACACTTTCTGCGAAATCAAGTCAATTTCCAACCAGGTGTGGAAGTTTCAGAGATATCAGCTGATCATGACGTTCCACGACCGCCCCATCATGCCGCCACCTCTCATCATCTTCAGCCACCTCTACATCCTCTTCAACAGGCTGTTTCGGCGGTGTGTTAAGAAGAAACAAGAGGGAGAGCTGGATGAAAAGGACCGCGGACTCAGTAAGTAACCACTAATGATATTAAAAAACTATAGTGGTATAACTATTTAATATAGTCTCATTCTGGCTCAAAAAAATCCTATTGTAGCTCATAGGCATACACTTGGAGAACAGTATTGGTCCGAATAGACCACACTGACTTACATCATGTAATCATTTTCTTCCAGAGCTTAGGCTGAATCCAGAGGAGCTCAAATTTCTGTACGAGTTTGAAGAACAGTGTGTGGAGGAATATTTCCGTGAGAAAGAGGACGAGCAGCAGTCCTCAACTGACGAACGTATCAAGGTTACTTCAGAAAGGTAAACACACTTCTCAAGTGAAGCTTTGATATTTTTGAACATGTTGAATACAGTTTATACTGACATGGTTTCGTTTCTCTGGTATTTTTGTTAGAGTTGAAAATATGTCTATGCGTCTAGAGGAGGTAAACGAGAGGGAGAACAACATGAAGGCCTCCCTGCAGACAGTGGATCTGCGCTTGGCACAGCTAGAGGAGATCCACGGACGAATGGCAGTCGCACTGGAAAAGCTTGCAGGGGTAGACAGACTGGAACTGACCAGAACCTACTCACGAAACTCCTCTGTGTGTGACCCCTCCTCCCTCCTTCGCCAGGGCAGTATTAACAGCGCTGATGGTTACAGTCTTTACCGCTTCCACATGGACATGGAAGACTTTGCAGCAAAGCAGAAGACAGATGAGACAACTAAAAGTGGTGTAGAGAGAGAAAAGAGTCTCCGGCAAGCCTCCGGTAGATGTTCTCCAAACAAAAATGAAGGTGGTCAGACCATAGAGGTTGCTGGTTTGGAGAGATCGGGTGTGGAAATTCTCATATCTCCTTGTAAACAAAAGCCTATTTCTGCAGCATCAAGTCATGAGATCTTATCCAATATAAGACAAGGCAAAACAGTGCTAGATAGCCTTATGCCTTCTTCCCCGCCAACAAGGACTAGGTCTTTGCGATACCATCCAGTTGATGACCAAGCCACCCCTCCTTTAACAAAGAGAAGGTCTATGAGCACCATCATTATCAGCCCACCTGATGAACCCGTAGAAGCAGAGGAACCCACAAAGAAGCCCGAACTGCCGCCAAGGACATCCTCTTCACCAAAGAGGACAACATCTTTAAGATACTATCCAGTCGAAGACCAAGCCACCTCTCCTGTAACAAAGATGAGGTCTATGAGCACCATCATCATCAGCCCGCCTGATGAACCCGTAGAAGCAGAGGAACCCATGAAGAAGCCCGAGCTGCCGCCAAGGACATCCTCTTCACCAAAGAGGACAACATCTTTAAGATACTATCCAGTCGAAGACCAAGCCACCTCTCCTATAACAAAGATGAGGTCTATGAGCACCATCATCATCAGCCCGCCTGATGAACCCGTAGAAGCAGAGGAACCCACAAAGAAGCCCGAACTGCCGCCAAGGACATCCTCTTCACCAAAGAGGACAACATCTTTAAGATACTATCCAGTCGAAGACCAAGCCACCTCTCCTGTAACAAAGAGGTCTATGAGCACCATCATCAGCCCGCCTGATGAACCTGTGGAAGCAGAGGAAACCATGAAGATGCCCGAACTGCCGCCAAGAATATCCTCTTCACCAAAGAGGACAAAATCTTTGAGATATATCCCTTCTGAAATCCAAAACCAGACTTCCCCTACCACAAATAAGAGACCCATGAGCAGCATCGTCTACAACCCAGCGGATGCAAGTGTTGAAACTGCAGACTACAGATCAGTAGTGGAGCAGGTCTCTCAAACACCAAATCGGTGGCCAGAAAACTTGGAGTACCAGGTGCACCCTAGCGCAGTTGGCCACATGCCTAAAGTTTCAACAGTGAGAACTATCGCCCAGCAGTTTAACAGTGGCACTGCACCTACAGAGCCTAAAAAAGAGGAAATTCAGACGGATCTTGTTCCTTTAGAAAGTGAGGGAGCTCTTCCAGCAGCAGAACAAACGACAGACCAAACTAAGATGAAGGCCAAGAGAATCCTCTCAGACACGACCGAGTATCTGACTGTAGCTGATGCAAAGAATTTGCCTTCTCACAGGTCACAGAGCTTTAATCTGAACAAGAGAGAAAAGGTGGTGAACAAGGAACCAAGAGCCTCCAGCAGCGAGAGAGACATCTTACAAGTCTGCACGGTGGTGGGGGGAGAGGAGGGCGGGATGATGGAGGCAGAGAAAAAAGAAGATGATGCACAGGAAAATAATTAATAGCCACAAAAAAAGGAGAAATGAAATACAGAATAGGGAATACAAATAAGGAACTGATGCTACCATTGAGCAAGGAAACATAGCATGCCCTTAACCGAAGAGCATTTCTGACTAAGTTATAGATTTCACAGAAAATAAAATGAAAGTAAAGAAAAAGTTAACAAATTCTGTTTGTTGACAGTGCAGAGTAGTGAAAATCAACAAAGCCCTTTTAAAGATCCACTTACTTTACTAACTTCCATTGGTGTAATGTACAATAGCTTACAACCCTTTACATTACAGTTTTAACCAGTCATTGTGTTTCCATATTTGATGTCTACACTTCCAGGTGAAAATAAATCAAGTTAGTTGTGCTGACATTATGACCCAATGTGAACATCAAAAACATGTATTTCCTAAGTACGATTGACACTTTAAATATGGTCTGTAAACATTTTATGTCCAGATACTGTAAAATGTGCTTAATAATGATCCACTCAGGGGAATCACTATAGCTTTCATGCAAATACTGACAGTGGCATAACATCATGTAGGTACATCTTCCAAGAAACAAACACCCTTTCAGTTTCATTTTGACACAAAAAACCTGTATACATAAAGGTTTCCTTAAAGACAGACGGTTACATATATAAACAATTCTGTCTTTTCTATCACAATACTGTGACTCCTTCAAAGGCGCATATGAAGAAATATAAATGTTGTCAGTGCAACAGGAGAATATAGGCAGGTTTGAATACATACATTTACACAGACAAATACAATCAATGCTTAGACTCATGTCTATCTGAAAGCATCATCATAGTAAATATGACAATAGGTAGTATGTATAAAACAATGCTACAAGTTAAGAAAGATTCAGATTTTTTTCTTTTTTACTCCCATTTATAAAGACAACTATGCAGAATTGTATTCTATTTAATAAAATCTATTCAATGACATCCAACAGAAGTAATATAAAAGCCAACATAGTCTCTGCCTCCTGTGAGCAGACACTGCATGGCCAGCTACTAACCAATGCTGATTATCACGAACAAGTCCTTTGCATGAGCGGATAAACAGTTTCAGGCCTCATTCCGGGTTGATCCTCATCTGGTCAGGAGCAGATCAGGATGGGATCTCAACATCATGAACCTGTGAGCTTCAGCTGGAAGTAAGGCTCTCTGCATATTACCAATGATGCCGCTGCTGCAAGGACGCCCGGGAGGCAGGAGCCCTCCAAAAACAGGAAAGTCACGCAAGAGCCAAGAACACCAGAGCCAGATCCTAGAGGAGTGAACACTTGAACAATTTTATCCTCTTTGACTTTTTCTCTGTGATCTTGACAGGCTTTCCAGATCCTCCGGCATTGTTGTCAGTCTAGCAAGGAGAGATATGAAAGCGGAGAAATAAAGTAAGGCTTCACATTAAGTGTAGCACCGATCAAAGGCATATGTTTATTTATGGCATTTATATTAATTTAAATCAAGCAAAACAACAATTTTACGAGTAACTCGAATAGTAATGTGATTTAACTGATGTTTAACATGTGATTTTCTTTAATAAAGGGCTAATGCTTTATGATAAATCTGCATTTTGTTTGAATGATTTCTATTCTTTGCATATTTTTAGGAGAATATAGACTCTAAACAAAATCAATTAAATATGTTTTGCCCCCAAATAATTGCCTCTTGTAGCCTAGGAGGCAACATACAGGGCTAAAATAATTGCTACTGCTTGCAAAGCTTAATGCTTATATCAAATCTTTAAAAGTAAGGGAAACATGTCCCTCCCATCCCCAGTAGACTTTACACCCTTTGCATCTATTATAAGAATCTCTTAATCACTTACTGTCTTTGAGCTCAGGTTATGTAATATGTCTCTTCCCATGCTATAAAAAGCCTAGAATGACAAAAACAAAAAAACAGGTAAATGTACACATTTCTTTTTATTTGCGTTATGTTGTGCTTTCAGGGTTAAAACATGTTTCTTACCTCTTCTACATTCAGGCCAGACTTTGCACTGGTTTCCAAGAACTTAACTCCATAATCAATAGCAAGCTAAGAGAGACAAACACACTTAGGGTCACTCAAGAAAGCCCATAGTTTTAACTTGCTCAAGATTGCTTGTTAGTAACAAGAGAAACTTACCTTTTCTCCTCTGTCTTTGGACACCTGTCTCCTGTCAGTCATGTCACATTTGTTGCCCAGGACCATCTTTTCCACATCAGACGAGGCATGCTGGAAGAAGTTAAAACAGTAATTTTGCAAAGTCTTATATATGTCACTCTTGGAACACATTGTTAATATCATCAAGTTATTTCTACCAAATATAAAATCATGTTATGCTATTTGTTTTCAAATCTATACAAGTTTTGATTCAGAGCTCACCTCTTCAATATTTCTAATCCAGTTTTTTATGTTTTCAAAGGACTTCTCATTGCTGATGTCATAGACCAGCATAATGCCCTGTGAAGAAAAACAGTCCTCCTCACAAACAATTTCATAGATCTTGTGATATGCAAGATAAACCAATAGGAAGGAAGTGCAGGATAAGGAGCAGACTTACCATTGCTCCTCTGTAGTAAGCTGTTGTGATGGTGCGAAACCTCTCCTGTCCTGCAGTGTCCCTACAAAACATTAAGTTGTGCAAGTTGGTGTCACACTTGGATTTGGAAAAAACATATTTAAATTACACTTACCAAATTTGAAGCTTGACTCTTTTTCCGTCCAGCTCGATTGTTCTGATTTTGAAGTCTATTCCTGCATTTGAATAAACAAACAAAGACAGAGTGGTATTTGCTGATGCTTACTGCATTGAATAGTTAGATGTCATCAAAAAACATGTTGCTAAGATGCACCAAAAACCAGGAAGTTCTGCAATAAGCAGCTGCCCTTTCTGACCTTTAGTAACTTTTCTATTGACTGGTTATCCTATGTCAGCAAAGGATGACATCATTCAAAATCACAGCAATACTAGCTGCTGCAGTATACTGAGTGTAAAGCCTTATGGATTTAACAATAGTCTATTATAACGATTATGAATGGCACCAAAAAGGACTCACAATTCAATACGGTTCCCAATGGTCAAACATCATGACTTAACTATTGATATCATTCTAACCTCGCTGGCAGTGGTTCCTATGATCCATCAAGGACATGAGATCATTCAAATGTGTTTCTCAGTCCCATTGTCCTGCTCTTATGCAGTTACTTCCCCTTTAAACATTATTGGTCTGTATAATATAAGGAAATAGGTTTTAATACGACTCTATATTGATCAAAGCCTTGTATTCTGTCAGTATGGGCAATAACTAAGTCAGATGTATCTTGAGGGGCGTTTTCAGCGGGGTACTCACCTATTGTAGATATGAAGGTGGTATTGAAGGAGTCCTCGCTGAACCTGAACAGCAGACATGTCTTGCCGACTCCGCTGTCTCCAATGAGCAAGAGTTTGAAGAGATAATCGTACGTTTTCGCCATTTAAACACACGATACACTGCAACGTTTGGTAATATTAGGCCGTATGAGTCGGGATCCCCGTTTGGAAATCCTCAGCTGTCTCAGGCACGCACTGGCAGCAGCAGACCGGTGCCGACAAGTGTGACGTCACGTTCTACTTTGCATTGTGGTCTATGTAGTTTGCAAGAATAATGTGTGAGCCATGACTAAATGTAGTCTTCTTTTTTCTAAACAATCGCTATGCTTTTTAAATGGATAAAATACAAACATAAACAACACTTAATGGATTCACTTGTTTAATGTTAATGTTGTTTTAATGTTACGGTTGTAAAAGGAATTTAAATTGGCCCATAGGACCTCTAATCAGAGACAGGAACATGGTATCCTTGTACCATTTGCATCTTAACATTACAATACAATACAAAACAATTGCTTTTGGCCCGTTGCTCAGCATTACGTTTAATTTAGTCCCTACAAGGATAGGCGCCATTTGCACTGTGTAAAAGACACAAAGCTTCCAAAGACAAGTGGGACTGGTCAGACTAAGTGAAATAAAAATATTTTAGCAACTGAAAGATATTGTTGAAGACAATGCACTTGTTGAAACTTTCAGAGCAATTGAATAAATGTTGTTGTATCCACAGAATACAAGGCTACCAAACAAACCATGTGAAACACACACACAGAAATTAATCAATATAAATGTAAGTGAAAATAAATGTAGAAATAAATTGAAGATATATAATAATGTGTGTTCTGTATTATTCTCAATTTTTTTATTTCCATATTTATTTGTTCTTGTATTTTTCTATTCCTGTATTTATTCAATTCCCCCCCCCCTGTATTTATTTCCACATTTATTCCTGTTTATTTCCACATTCATTTATTTCTCTTTTTTCACATTTATTTATTCTTGTATTTTTTGTATGCCTGTATTTATTCCTGTATTTATGTATTTCTTATATGTCATGATCTGTCCTCCATACCAGTGTGCTTGTTGTGTGCGTAAAGGTACAATTTCACTAAAAAATCACATCACAGCAAGACCTATAGTTGGCATTCATTGATTCAAAAACACATTGGTGGTCCAGAGGTCTATGCATTGAGTTTCCTTCAGGTGTTCCAGGTTCGACTCCCAGGGGAGGGACATCGTTTGTCTTCCTTTTGAAGTGAAATGTATCAATCTGGAGACAGTTAAATGAAACAGATGTAGCTGTCTCAATGTAATCTTAAACATATCATTTGTACAGAGCAATTGGTGATTACCAGCCAAAGAAGCAGCACCAACTAATACTACTAGCCTACTACTACTACTACGTTTGGCTGTAAACCATAAACTGTATAAAGCTGTAAACCCACGACCAGAGCAGCGAGCAACCTTCACCCTTTTTCAGGGATAACTTTAGGGGAGGCATCTTTTAAAGCACCACTTCAAGAGATGATGATCATTTGAAGAAAGTAACCCATACCATCAAATCTGATGTTATCAACTAAACAAACACAACTAGGCTAGATGCCAGATTATTTTTGATAAAATTATAATATAGTTAAAAATGTAATTGGGTCATGAACAAGACAGTCTCTTTTTGTCCTTTGCATTTATAACACCTTACGTGTTAAAACGTTTCATTAAAAGGCAATTCTCAAGCTTCTCAAGATACCCGTTTTAGCATTTCATCGATAGCGCAGATCTGGCAACCCAAGCTCTGCAACTGCACAGGTCCTCTTTCTGACCAACCAGCTCGCGTATGCACAGCGAAACGAGCATACACCATTGAAAATGCCTGTAAGTTATTAATTCCTTTAGTTAGAGTTACTATAGTGTGTTGTCAACTGTCGGTACATATGTCGAGTTCCCATCGCCACATAATGCCGTTGTGTCCGCGGTCTGAAAGTTGTGTTGTTAGTGTGTAGCAGCAGCAGCACATGGCGAGAAAGTTAGCTAACAGCGTTAGCCCTGTCTGGAACGGGCGGCGACTAATTGCTGAAACCCAACAGTATCCGATGAGTATTCTCGTTGCAGATTGATTTCGGTCCAGGAAATAATCTGTACCTGTTTTGCTTGTAACACAAGGCCAGTCGTACGGTTACCCCCAGCTGATTATAGTGTACAAAGTCAATTGAACAACAACTACTTTTGAACAACAACGACGTTATCGATGTTTAGTGTTATTCCAACATACATGATGTTTCGAAAATCTAAGTTAGTTTACATATTGACCTTTGCCGTGATGTGTAGATTTAAAAACATAACAAAATGCGTAGTCTCCCTTGTTTTTCAAAGCAGTAGCATTACCTATACATATATGTAGTCAAATAAGCTTCACAGCTGTTATAGTCACATATTTTACTAAACTTGGCTCAGGTCTAACTCCCTCAAAACTGTTGAAATGCATTTAACCTGGTTTGTATTTTTCACTCCAGCTTGCAAGAGACCTCCTCCACCCTACAATTGAACATGAGAGAAGACAACATAAAAAGAAAAGGCTGGTTCAGAGTCCCAACTCCTACTTTATGGACGTGAAGTGCCCAGGTATATATTTATATACACGTCAGATTTCAGTTCTCATCGACATATGATAAATGCATAAAGAATAATAAATGCCGAGTGTATGCCTTTTTTGTTTGATCATACATGGGATTATTTCTCCTGTCATCTCCCGTCCCGTCAACTGATTTAGCCATCTTCAATATCACATTTCAAGTGACATTTATGAAAAGCTAATCCGAGTGCATTTAAATCGTATTATTGTGTAATTACAGTCTAATCATGTTTCTTTATAGGCTGCTACAAGATCACCACAGTGTTCAGCCATGCTCAGACAGTGGTACTCTGTGTGGGATGCGCAACAGTGCTTTGCCAGTCAAAAGGAGGAAAGGCCAGACTGACAGAAGGTAAAAGATCCACATAAGTTGAATTATTGCAAGTCCTATAAAGTACTTTGCTAATTATGAAGTATCACCTTTTTACATGTGTATATCTGTAAGTGGAAGGCAGTTTTAACTTATTTTAATTTTTGCTTTTCAGGTTGCTCTTTCAGGAGGAAGCAGCATTAAAAGGGGACACTTAGTCATGATTGCAATTAAGCCATGCTGTTGAGCAATTATATCTCCCCATTATGTAACAAAGTAACTGTGCATTCATTAACAGCAGGTCCTGTCACTATACAGATGTCCAACTTTTATGAAGAATTTGTAAACTAGCAAACATTTTATTCTGCAAGATGATTAATGTTACATTTCTATAAGCCAATAAAACACTCTGAAAACATGTTAAAGCATTCTGGGACTTTTATTGAGAAAAAAAAAATGATGTTTGTCAAGACTGAAATTACCTTCATAGAAAGCATACAAGTAGTCTTTTCAGCTTTTGAAAAGAAAACATATGTACCATAGATTTCATTGGAAACATATGGGTATAAAACACAGATCTTAAATAGAGAACATACAAGACACTGACACCAAAATACCGTTTTGATAACTTAGGGAGCACAAACAAAACGTGAAAGGAGTACCCCACTTGCATATTTGTGTCCCTTTAGTCATACAAAAATGGCATTGGCAACTGTTTTAAACCTAATGTTACTTCTTTTCATCAATGTTTTTTTGTGAAAACAGGACTTAAAAAAGAAAAGGCATTTTCACACAAAAAAAAAAAATCCACATGCTCTACGACGTTTTTAATTATTTTTTTACAACTACTGCGTCTGACATTGCACCCCGTTTCCGTTTCTGGGACCCTCTTCGTCTTCCTCATACGCTTCCCTACTGGCCCTTCTCTGTGACGACACATCCGGCTCACTGAGTTCCACCTCCTCCATGTCATCAGTAATCATCACATCCTCTCTGGGAGGAAGCAGTCTTTCCAGCTGGAACATGAGATGCTCTGGAAGCCAGCCTTTCTCTGGAAATGCAACCTACGGGATGCATAACAATTTGCTTAAATAAATGTTTTCTTTACAGCATAACAATTGGTTGATATCCAGATTTCGGTCAGTGGGACAATTTTGTGTTCAGTGTACCTTACCTGGAACTTAATGATAAGCTGCCCTTTTTCATACGGCTCCTTGTAAATTGGCATGCCCTCATTCTGAACACATCTGATGTCATTATGCTTGATTACTTCACCTGTTGACAGAAAACAAGATGTTTATTATATTTTAATTACAAATATAGTCTACCAGAAAAGGCAACACTGTAGGCGAGGTTGATTTCAGTCAATTACCTGGTAGTGCGCTGATGACGAGCGTTCTGTCGTCTAATGTTTGAATAGTCTTCTTGAAACCACACAGAGCCTCAGATAGTTTGATATCCATCTTCATTATCAAATCTTCGTCTTTCCTCTGGAACAAGGGGTGATCCTTCTGATCCAGAACGATGATTACATCCCCTGGCTCCAGTCCAGGTTCCTGGTCCCCTTCTCCAGTGAATGTTATTTTCTGACCGTCCCTCATACCTGCACCAAACATTTATCTTAGGTTTAGTTTGGGTGGCAAGACACATTTGCACTAATACATATATTATTGCTATTATATATTATCAAATATGGAAAACAACATACCTTTGTCAATGTGAACCTCAAGAACTTTCTTCTTGCGTTCTACTTTGCGTCCATTGCAGCTCTTACAGCGGTCCTTGGAGCTAAATTTCTCTCCCTGTCCCTGGCAGTCTGCACACACACTCTGGATCTGCTGGATCATGCCAGGCCCAATCTGTTGCACCTTGATTTGAACACCTCTTCCTTTGCAAATGGAGCACTTTTCCATTGCACCTTTCTTCCCACCATAGCCTGTAACAAACAGGACAATGTCATTAACTGAAAATTAAATCACTATTTCATATTGTGTATTTAAAAAAGAAAATAAATAACACTGCGTACCTTCACATGAGTCACAAATGATGTTCTTTTGAAGTCCGAGCTTCCTTGTACTGCCATTGTACATCTCATCCAGTGTTACACTAAGTTGGTGGACGACATTCTTCCCTGCAGGAAAAGCAAATACATCCAAATTAAACAGTTATTAAGTTGTGGCTGTTAAGGTTAGTTTATTGCCTCCCATGAGGCATTTTTTGGGGGGGGTGTTGAGTTAGGACATCCCCATGATCTTCCATGCTATTTTAGCCAGATTGAATATTTGAGCTTTAAGCTTAAATGTAAGATTTTCAAAGCAGCTGGTACTACAAAAACGTAAGGAAATGGTGGTGCTTATGGATTCTTGTACAAAAGCTTTCAACATGAGTGTGCCTGCTGCTCACTTGTAGTAAGTGACCAGTGTGATGTCCTTGCCCGTGGATGACCACAGAAATATCATCTCAAACTGATCTGGGATCTAACCCAATTTCTTCAGTTTCATGTTGAAGGATGTGAAAATGATGCCAAATTAGTCACCAAACATAATCCACTTCATCAGTATCGCTGATGAAGTGGATTATGATATAGCTTGTGATTAAAAAAGGATTTGTGTGGCCTCAAAACATTCATAACAAATTAGCCAAGTAATTTGTATATGGCGGAAGGTTTTTATATACAAACAGCTGCTAGGTTACTTTTATAAATCTTACCTCTTCTCTCTCTCTGCATCCTCCCTCCACCTCCAAAGAACATGTTGAACATGTCCATTGGTGAAGTTCCTCCTCCCATGCCTCCTTCTTTGATTGCTTGTTCTCCTCCTTGGTCATACAAGGATCTCTTCTCTGGATTTGACAGCACTTCATATGCTTGAGATATAAGCTTGAACTGTAACAATCAAAACAAATTAAGTTTTTGAAGCATCAGGCTCCCTTCAATCAATCATCAATGTTTATTTATATAGCCCAATATCACAAATGTTACCTTTGTCTCAGTGGACTTCACAGTTTGTACAGAATACCAGTATGACAACAATGCTCAATGGATATGTAAATAAGTGATAATAAATATCATTCAAGTAAACATCTCAGAATCCAACCAAAGTTAAAACATACAATATAACATCAAATATAGTTGTATACATTAGATTGTGTTGCTAATATAAAAAGGTAATGCTGCCAATTGCCAATGTAAGGTCACGTTGCTATGGTTAACAGGGTGTATACAGTAGAGATTATATTAGTATTACTTGGTGTAACTGTTACATTATCATCACATTGTGATGCTAATAGACTGTGTGGAAATCGCAGGTGTCCTAAATGTATCAGATCAAGTCCATCAGCATAAGGAGCCTAAAAATATAATCTTAAAGTATAATTAACAACCACTTCCTTCATTTTATTTAAATGTCACAACCTACGGTGGCATTTGACCCCAGTTTCAGATGGGCATATCTCCCTGTTCCTAAACAGAGGAGCTGCGAGCTTACTCCAGAAAGTCAATTCAACAAGGCGTACAGTTTAAAATTAGACAGCATTTGTTACTGTCCATAAAGGGCTTCAGGATATCTAGCTACATGCTACTAACTTACCTTCTCTCCTTCATTGGGGTTCTTGTCGGGATGATATTTCAATGCGAGTTTTCTGTAGGCTTTTTTGAGTTCATCCTGCGAGGCTTCAGGGTTGACACCCAGTAACTCGTAGAAGCCGGTTTCGTGAACCATGGTTACAACCTACATTTAAATAAAGCAGAAAACAAATCAGCATCCATCAAATACGAAGGATGGCCTAAAACCATAAACCGTACGCTAGCTAACAACCGTGTTACTAAAAAACAAATGTCCCTACAGCATGTGATACACGACGTTACAAAAGAACCGGTGGCTTAAATACAGTAGCCTGAAACGGACAACGTGAGTAAGCGTGGGGTTAAATGACGATCAACCATACACAAGCTTAGCCTATATTACATTAACATTTAATGAAAGAGCTAGCATGTATTAGCCGTATAGCTAAGCAGTTTTTCAAAGCACCGTTTAGTGTAGGCCTACTTACTTGCTAGGAGATTTTACTATTCAAGCTTTAGTAAGGGTTACGGTGAGGCTGGTGGAGGAAGATGGCTGGCTCTTCTTATAGTCGCTCGGCTCTGCGCTTTGGAACTTTCTGGAGAGCTGTGGAAGAGTGGCCGGAAGTGTCGTTGGGCTGCAGTCTAGAAAATACCTGGGGGAGGGGTGCATGATCAGACTGACTGGTTCATCTAGGAACTTCACATTACCTTGTTTAATGAATGATAATGAAAATGAAGTACGCCAAGCAATGTTGGAGAAAGTACTTCTAGACTACAAATATAAAAGCAGAAAACGTAAAATAATTCTTACTCATTCTGGGTTGGCTTTCTGTGTCCCCAATACGCCTCCTCAAAAGGTTGGTGTTATGGGCATACTATTTTTATTATTATAAATGTGGGCAATATTTCTGTGATTTATTTAAGTTGAAGCATATTCCTACGTACTATTATCTGTTTTTAAATTGTACATACACAATATTGCCATGCAAAATATCTAACAGTAACCACGGCTGTCATATAATCTTAGTGGAGATACAAGCACACTATTTGTTAATATTAGTATATATTATTTGTATTATGTCATGAAGTGGTGGTTATATAAGGTAATTTAACATCCAACTCTTTGTAGGAAAGAACCACAAAGTGGCTACTATCAATATTTTTATAATAACAATATGTTATATTAAAACGTTAAAGAACAATGTGAAAAGGTGTCTGGTGATAGTGAACATACATAATCATTAGCTGAACCTGCTGCCCCCAGGTGGACAGAATAAATAAGATATTCCAGGTTTAAAGCTACATTAAACCACAAATCAGTTTAGTTTTATAAATACATCTATATTATTAATACACACCCAATCCTAAATTTGCAACTCATTGCTGTAACTCACCTAATGAAAGTATATATTTTTTTATATGCAGTTCATGTTATCCATCCTGTAACTACTCAACTATAAGACACAAAGCCCAAGTACTGCAATGGAATGTAAACAAACCAGTCTTTTAAAAATAAAAAAACATTTAAAAATGTTCAACTTAAATTGAGCCCTCTAGTTGGGAAGACAGCTTCTATTAATTAATAGTATTAATTAGCATCAGGTGAAAATACTCAGGTAAGGTAGCCTACAAGTACCACTAAATGGACTTAGATACAGTACCTGAGTAAATAAACTCAGTTTTTTTGCCACAACTATAGGTGAGTGGCTGTATTGGTAGTTTGATACTTAACAAAAAAGTACTACACTTCCGTCAAGTGACTATACTGTACATCAGAAGGGCTCAACATAAGGCAGCTCACATTAACCCAAGTGATCAATCTTTGGCATACTAAACTCAGATATTGGGTTATTATAATTCTCATCAGATATATGCAATTTAGATTATTTTAAAGCAGAATTGTTAGGATTTGGGTTTAACATGTCTGTGTGTAATTTATCATTATAATCGTACTGTTTTACATATGAAAAGACTAAGCTCATTTAAATTCCGGACATGTTCTTGAGCCAACAGGTCCATGCAGTGCTCTCAAAGGACTTTCTGATTTGTTCACAGCTAGTTAAAACTTCATGGGGCTTGATGTTACCAGTTACTCTAAAGTCCTACTATTTAAGGGTGCACTTGTCCTGTAAGAAAACATTTTCTGTTTCATACCAGTCGATTTTGAAAAGGTTTTCCTTTTAGCAAATCAAGAGGCTAGATCCTAGAGGATTGCTTCACTACCAATATATCTACAACAGTATGGACCTTCCTGGTGAGGAGAAGGGAGAAGATCAACTTGAAAACAGGTAAGCTATACAAAAATGACTTTATCTAGATGAGGAAGAGATGCTAGTCTCTTTAGACAACACTACTTTTAAGTAGAAGTTAAATTAGCTGTAGGAGAAGTTCGGCAAGTTAAGGCTGAGTGAACCAGAGTTCACATTAGTTAGCATTTGAAATGACTACATTACTAAATTGGAAGAGTGATGAAAGTTGTACCGGATTTCGTAATTTAACACCAGCTTTCAGTATCAACATCCTGTATACCTTGTATTAAAATTGATCGTTGCCAACACTTTATGGATATAGAAAAGGAATGGAGGCTTAAAGTCCAGATAGTCTCATTTAGAGACTTTTGTGAGTTGGGTTTTGTGAGTTTTAATGAGCAAGAGTAAATAAACTTGAGCTTGCATTGAAAATATTCTGCCAAAAACAAAACAATGGGGCTTCAGCTCTGGCAAAAGCCTGACATTGTGTGTGTTAAACAGCGCAGCTGAAAATTAGACCCATGTGATGACCGAGTGGCCCGATTGCTACAATGTGAGTGTGTATGAGCTGTTAGGCCCATCTTTTCTCTTTATTTTTCAGAGTTCAGGAGTCTATGGCACATGTGCAGATAGATGGTGAAGAACATGCCTCTGTAGGTGAGTTATGAGCACATGGGTCTGTTGAATTAGAGTATGTAAACTAGATTATTTTTTTCTAATTTCCTTTGTCCCTCTTCTCAGGAAGGAAAAACCTAGAGGTTCAGTTTGCTTGCACACCACTTGCTCAAGCCAGTTCTCTTTGGACCACTGATGCTAAAGGCGCGGTGAGACTGAGAATAGAAGAAGGATGCCCAGAGGAACCGGTTACCGTTCACCAAATGTTTAAAGCCTCTGTTGAGAAATATGGAAACATGTATGCACTGGCCAGCAAGATGGACAACAAATGGGAAAAGATAACTTTCTCAGAGTATTATCAATTCTGCCGGAGAGCAGCCAAGAGCTTTATGAAGGTATGTTTTTTAAATAAAAACAACACATTGTGTGTAATACATACTAAATTATTTAAACTATTGAGTACTATCAATGGGCAGATTTTTTTTTAAAAGACAAAAATGTGTGCAGCTTGGTCTAGAACGATTCCATGGAGTGGCGATACTAGGATTCAATTCAGCAGAGTGGTTCTTCTCTTCAGTCGGTACCATCATGGCGGGGTGAGAAAGACACAGCATCAACAGCTGACATGAATCAGCATAAACTGTACCCAAATATACAGTGTCTTTGTTATTAATGCTGTTTTTATTATTTCAACTGCTCATTTTGCAATGTTACATCCGTTAACCTTTTTTTCTCCTGTGACTGATGAATATTTTTTATTTAGGGGGATAATGACAGGAATGTATCCCACTAACTCACCAGAAGCTTGCCAGTATGTTGCAAGTGACTCCAAAGCCAACATTATTGTGGTGGAAAACCAGAAGCAATTGGATAAAATCCTGCAGGTACTGTCGCGTATATAATATATAAATGTTTTTCTCCACATACAGAACATACTGTAAATGTCTCCCTCTTTATACCTTAGATACGAGACAGGCTGCCCCATTTGAAAGCCATAGTGCAGTTCAGTGGAAACCCCCAGCAGAGGATCTCAAACATTTACTCCGTAAGTCCTCTTGATTAAATTATCAAAGTGTCTTTTGAGCTCAGGCTGTGACGCTCTCTGTTGCTGTTTTGGGGTAGTGGGAGGACTTCATGGATCTGGGTCTAGATGTTTCTGAGGATGAGCTGGATGACATCATTGACAGCCAGAGAGCCAACCAATGCTGCATCCTGATCTACACATCTGGCACCACGGGCAAGCCCAAGGGAGTTATGCTCAGTCATGACAATGTAAGTTTACTATTCTTAGTCCGCACTTACTCAGAGTTACAGGAGACTAAACGTCTATCTTTATCTGTGATGTGTATTTAGATCACATGGACGGCCAATCATGCCAGCAGGGTGGGGGAGATGCAGCCAGCTGACACCCAACAGGAGTCACTGGTGAGCTACCTGCCTCTCAGCCACATCGCTGCTCAGATCTATGATATGTGGACGGCCATCCAGTGGGCTGAGCTGGTATACTTTGCACAGCCAGATGCCCTAAAGGTAAATAAAATTGCTTAGATCACAGATATAATAGTTGTAGACATAACAAACAAAGAACAGTGCACAATAACCCCTACCACAGACAGCTATACAGCACATCAGACAAAAAGGGGAAATCATTTAATAAGATTAAATCATTATAATACAATAAAGAGACATAATAAAACCTAAATAGACATTGAATGTAAATGTTAATGAATTTTCTAGTAAATAAATAGGGAAAATATTCATTAAAGTACCATATTAGGTACATATAAGATTAGGACTACAGCTATCAAATGAGAGTCTTTCATCTGTAAGACTTTTAGTAAATTAAAGTTAATAGCTCCACTGTGGGTTTAACTACTAGTTTTCCCATATGCATTATTCTCTTTAATCAATCATGCAAACTACATTTTAGCTGTGCAAGAGACAAGCGCAATAATGTGGTCAATAATAAATGTCACTTGATTTGTGTTTTGTTTTTTTGCTCGGTTTGTCCCTTATTTGTTATAGGGAAGCCTGATAACAACTCTACGAGAAGTTTGTCCTACATCTCACATGGGTGTCCCACGAGTATGGGAGAAAATGATGGAGAAAATAAAACAGGCAATAAGTGAGTGTGGATATGTGAAAAAGAAACTGGTGACATGGGCAATGTCAGTCAGTCTGGAAGCTAATCAAAAGTGTTCACAAACGTAAGTGCTGATGAAACTTGAATATTTTTGAAGAATTAAACTGAGCCATCAAATGCAGAGATTATTCAATAATATTGACATTTTCTTATGTTTTGTTTTAGGGATGATGACAAACCTTTCCTGTTCACACTGGCCGACAGCCTTGTGCTTCAGAGGCTTAGGACCGAGCTGGGTCTGTCTTGCTGTCAGAAGTTCTTCTCAGGAGCAGCACCGATCAGTAGTGAAACGGTGCAGTTTTTCCTGGGCCTGAACATCAGGTTGTATGAGGCATATGGCATGAGTGAGAGCACAGGACCTCACTTTATGTCAGGTCCCAGAGCTTACAAACTACCAAGGTAATACAAAATCAAGGATCGGAAAAACTGTATGTATGGTTATGTGTTTTTAAAATCATATTAACATATTTTTTTCTCTGACTAAGCTGCGGGAAGGTGGTGCCTGGCTGTAGATACAAAATGGTCGACATAGACTCTGAGGGGACAGGGGAAATTTGCTTTTGGGGACGTAACATTTTCATGGGTTTCCTCAACATGGAAGACCAAACAAGAGAAGCATTGGACGAAGATGGATGGTTGCATTCTGGAGACTTGGGCAAGATCGACGAAGAGGGTTTCTTG